AGGTGCTGATACACGAATTGATGTTGCTTGGACCCCGGCGGTTACCTTTTTTAGTTCTGAGCCAGCTAGTGGTGGGGACAGTGGAGCACTGGTCTTCAGGGAATAGCGGATGGGCTTCTCCTACTGTTCTGCTCCCAGTTTGCTATTCCAATGTTGAAGGCCATTTGGGATATTTTTATTTTCTTAAGGTATCCACGTTTGGACTTTGGGCAGCCTAGCCAGGCAGGTGATGGATCTGATGTACACAGTAGTGACGGCAGAACTTGAAGGTGGAATGCTGCCTTTCATAGAGGAGTAACTTTTGTATTCGCATAAGATTTGTGTAATTAATGTGAGAGGGAATTGGTGTGTTCTCAACCAGAGGCCCTTGGCTCTAGCAGCTTGCTGACCTTTTGGCCTTGCAGTAGGCTTTGTTTGTTCAGGCTTTTCCCTGTTAAGCAATCTGGCTGTTCTGGGTTGTTTCTTTTGGAGTTACTTTTTTGGGCGACATTAATTGAATTTAGTTGCTTTCATGTTTGATTGCTTTACATGAATGGTGTTTGCCACGTTAAGTTCATCCTGAGATTTGGAATCTGTATCTCATAAAATTAAAACCAATGTATGATATCTGGAAGTGTTACTTCCAAAAAATTTAGCTCAGGTATTTTTGATCATCTTACTCATGTTATTGCACGTTCACTGAAAGGACAACAGAATTCATAAAGAACACCTTGGCAAGCAGTTTTTAAAATTGAGATCAGAACCCTTTTTAAAGAATGATGAATCATTTTTTTGATCAAAAAATTTCTAACTAGTATGGCCTGCAAAAAACATTCATGTAGATGGTAAATGAAGTTGGCTGAAAGGAAGTCGACTGTGGGTAATTGTGTAACTAAACTAACTAGTGATAGACTTGTACATTTTACTCGCTACTTCCTCTGCTCAATTTCCTGTGTTGATTAAGGGAAAAGATTGCCTCCTCTTCTAGCAAGGTAATCCCAAACAGGATGTATGGAGGATTAGACCCCTTGGTGCTGGTCCAAAACAGAAACTGGGAGGTGCCAAATTCTGTTTTTCTGAAAGTCTTCCGGGTTAATTTGTGTGTCTTGCAATCAGTGAAGTTGGAGAAAATACTTCTGATTTCCTGGGAAGTATCTAAGCAAAAAATTTTGGATGTTACATTTAAAAAAAGAATAGTGAACTCGATTTGCATATGCACTCATTTTCATGCAATTTCTGTTTCCTCTATGCAAATGTGGCCATTTTTAGAGCAACTCATGCAGATGTCTGCTTGATTCTCTATGGAAGTTCAAACTAGTAGCAGTTCCTTAACCATAGCATTAACTTCTTAAAGTGAGAACATAAACAATGTGGTGAGCTTTTTTGGTAGCATTTTACAGCTTTCAACAGCATAATGTTCAGTATGGAGCTTGCTTTTATACTGTAAATTAGTTCTATTGATAATGTTTAATAGTATATGAACAACACTATTTTGGTCTTGATTACATAGAGGGAGGAACAAAATTTCTTTATTTGTGGCATGCTAACTTTTTTGCTAAGTTTCTACACTTGATTTCTGTGAATGCTTCTGTTTTCTGCAAAATGGAATACAAACCTAAGGCTTATATTTTGGACTGATAACATGCTGTTCTTGTATCACTAGAATGAAACACTTGGATTTTTTTTTTCTTTTTCCTAATATGGCAAGAGTTAGGTTGGCATGAAGTTCATACAGTTACAATATGGAGCCCCCACTTTTAGTCCATGCACCAAGAGCAGCGGAGGAACCGTAGCATTGGGGAAGGGAGGGGAGAGCATGGGAACATTCTCTGCTTCACTTTTTCAGGAAAAGATGCAAAAGGAAGAATGTTTATTGTGTACATAGCATGTTGGAGATATTGTTATAGAAAGTGTAAGACATGTAGCATTACCCACATGCCTAGTGTTGAAAATTGTAGTTTTCCTCTCTCTAAATAAATCTCTCTATAGATGCTGAAGATACAAGCTGTCCTCTTTAAGCTTTTGTGTTGATTTTATTACAAGGGAATATTGAAGTTGAATTTAGTAAGTACCTGCAGGTTTCACTATGAAGTTGTCTAGAAGTAAAACACAATGATTTATCATGTTTGTTTATAGCTGTAGAAAATAGGAAAACACCTTTTTTTTTTTTCTATTCATTACATTTATGTTATTTAGGATGTAGCAGCTTTATGTATTGGCTAAATATCAGACCATTTCAAATTATCAGTGTCTTAGTTTGATCCTGAAAGGCTCAGTGTGTAATCAGAACCACCAAATTGTAATGCATTTCTAATATGCTTGTCTAATTCAGTGCTGTATAGCTTGAAACCCCCTTCTTTTTAGCTTTTTCTACTTTTGGCACTAATTAACATTTAGATATTTCATGATCATTTCTTAAGTTCCTCTGCAATGTGAAATTCATGTCTACTTAGGGAAAATCATCACCAATTTACTTATACAATGCATATAAATTAACCAACTCTTTTGTTCCATCTACATTTTTATGCAATCAAGAAAACCAATTTAATCATGCTTTCCACTGTAAGGCACCATAGCTTGTAAAGCAAGGAGAAAAATATTTTCAGCTATGCATATGATATCAAGACCTTCTAGAAAATTCGGTTTTTAATGGGTTTATTGCATTTTGACTCATTCAGTGTGAATATTGAGAGAAGTATAAAGTAGTTAGCAAAGAAAGTAATCAGCTTAGAGTACTTTAATAAGGGATGCTGACATGCATATGGGAATTTTTGCTGTGTTTTATCTGTTTATCATGTTTTAAAAAGTGGGAATACAAGAGAATATTTGCTCTAGATCTCAGAAGCAGAACCATCTGCAGCAACAACTTCCTGAAAAACTTGTGTGTCTGTTGTTTTAGTGGGTGTGAGACTATCTGGCTCTATATGGTGTTTTGTCCTGCTATGTCTTGCCTGCTTCTTTATCTGGGATTTTTGTACCATGCATGTGTGTCAAAACACATTATGTGGATGAATTGGTACCTTGTTTCTTCAAGGAACAGGTGGAAATAAGAAATTTTGACTGAAGATAAAATCTTGATTCCCCAACCATTTTGACAATATTAGTACATGTTTCATATCTCAAATATAATAGCAAAAGGAACATTTTGTTGTTGAATTAAAGGGCTCCTTCCTGTTATATCTGCATTATTCTTTTAAGTGCTCAGGGAAGAAACGCTGTAATGAATTACTGTTTGATATTAGCCTTGTACGTCACAATTGCTGCAGTAAGGAAAAGAATGTCCTTATTTGATCAAATCAAGTTATGTGTATGTGTAGGGGAGGGAGAGAGTGGCCTAATGTGTAACTAATAGCTAGGACTAGATAAATTGACAGAACAAATTGTATTTCTCTGCATTATACTTTACTTCTGATAATGTCCTGACATTGTTAATCAGTGTCTTTTGTGGTCTCAAGAAATAGAACGTTACTCTCTCAAAGCAAGGAACACTGTGGAAAGTTACCTGTTCAGGACACTAGTATGGGCTTTCCCACCCTAACCTGGCTGGCGGGATAAGAGGTAATTAGGTCAAGGCAGTTCTGACTCCGGCACAGAAGAAAGGAAGATGATTGAGGTGGGATTAATTAACAAGCTATAAATTCATAGCGCATAAAAATAATTTAAAATCTCATCACACACATGTGTGTATATATGTATATGTGTGTGTTTATATAAAATGTGTATATAAAGATATGTAAATGAGCTTCTAGGATAACTGTGGCCATTGTATGGATATATGACTCCAACCTGTAAACATGATCATGATATGCCATGCCCTGTCCAGTTCAGAGCTGTGTCTGGCTAAGGGTAAGGGCTTAAACATCTTTATGCCCTTTTCTAGGAGCTCCAGTTCCTCCAGCCTGGCCTTGAAGGTCTCCTGCTGCAAACTGACCCTTTCTCGCTACTCAGGCTCTGTTCACCTTCCTACAAATGCCTTCAAGAAAGCACTCTTGGCTCTCCAGCTGCACTAGGGTTTGCTAGCAGGAGCAGGGCAGTACTAGAAGCTGTTTTTCCTCCCCACTTTCATATCTGGTGAGAGTGTTATTTAGGCCAGTCTGTTAGGCAATTCTGCCTCATGTAATACCTTGCATATGATAGATGCTGTCCATCATCCTAAAATGGGACGTGTATATTGTATTTTTCAGCTAATCTCAGTTAGGATATGGACAGATTGTCTGCTGTTGCACTGAAAAAAAATTAAGGACCTGTATCTGTTGATTTAGTAAATTATTAAAATGAATGGGAGTCTCAGATTTCTGCAATAAATTATGGTGCATGAAAAAAGGTTTCATTGACTTAATTCTTAAATTATTTAAAAAGGGTGAGGTTAGAAAATGTGATTAACTCCCCCTGAGCTCTGCATTAATAGCCTTCCACTGCATAAGGGTTGCACAGGGGATTAACTATAGTCTTAAGTTTGACAGTCTAGGATGGGAGAATTAATAAAATATTCAGCAGTGTTGAGTTTAGGAAAAGGATGACACCAACTTGTAACTGCCTTTTAAGCTGTTAGTGCAACTCTCCCTTCCTTTTGGTCTTGCATGTTGTTGACAATGTGCACCTAGAGAAGTATACCAGGATGCTGCAGGAGTTAAAATCTTAAACCTTCTCATTGTTCCATAAAATTTTAAACTTTTTTTTTTTCCCTTCACAGGAAATGACCTAGAGGCCTTACAAATACATTTGTGCATTTTTGTTCCGAGTCTACAATTGAGGGCAAACGCAATCTGGAAGCACCACTGCTTAATGTTACAACGGAAACAACTACCTCAACAAACAAGGAAAGGGGAAGAAGGCTTGCAATAATAAACACTCTAATTTTTAATAGCTTATACTTGCAAAGTCTTCTGTAAACAGAGTCCAGATTTTTTTTTTCCCTCCAGTATTAAGAAGAGACGCTACAAATAAACTAATCTGGCAGACTGGATCTGTCAAGACATTTAAGATATTTGGTCTGCTGACATAAGGATTCGCTTTTTCAAGGAAGCAGCCTCTGCACTGCTTTTATAATCGCTGTTGATCAGTGGTTTGCTCCACTTTTCCTGATATTACTAATGGGAAAATTGTATTAAGGTATTGCTTCTAAAACTATTATTTGCATTGACAAAAATAACTTTTGTGGACTTAACAGCAAGTGACAATAAAATGCTCGTGAAGGAATCATAGGTGATAACTTCTCTGCTCCAGCATTGCTTTTCTGTGTGCAGAGTGGAATACCAAGCGAGACAGAGCATTATTAAGATACTTGGGCTTGTTTTTTGAGTACAGCTTATAACTGCAGCAGGGCTGCACTGAACACTTAAAATACGAAGTCAGCAAATCTGCTGCCTTTCTCACTGCTGATACAGATTATACAGACGCTTGCCTTTTTGAAATGCCTTTTGTGAAACCTATGTACACAGTCCTCCACTGTTACTGTACATAACTATATATTTGAGGAAGGAATTTGACAAGTGATTGTTAATTCAAGAAATCTTTGGACAAGCACTCACTTATGTATTGCTGTAGTGCACAAGAAAGCAAAATGGACTATAAGCGGCGCTTTTTGCTTGGCGGGTCCAAGCAAAAAGTGCAGCAACACCAGCAGTATCAAATGCCTGAGCTAGGCAGGACCCTGAGCGCACCGCTGGCATCTACAACCCCAGCATCCCCTTTGGTCTCCTCAGCTGCTGCGGGCAGCTGCAACCACCCTGTGTCCCATACTACTCCGATCGCAGACATCCAGCAGGGAATCTCCAAGTATCTGGATGCACTCAACGTGTTTTGCCGTACAAGCACTTTCCTTACAGACCTTTTCAGCAGTGTATTTAGGAACTCACACTATTCTAAGGCAGCTATGCAACTGAAAGACGTGCAGGAACATGTCATGGAAGCAGCGAGTCGACTCACAGCAGCAATAAAACCAGAAATAGCAAAAATGCTGATGGAACTGAGTGCAGGAGCTGCAAACTTTAAAGATCAAAAAGAGTTCAGCCTACAAGACATTGAGGTAAGTTACTTTGGGGGATACTGTTTTGCATGTGGATTTGTATCATTCCTTCTTAACTGGACTTCTCTTCAAAATGACTTCTACATCGCAAGTTCTCTCTGCCTTGCTTTCTGTTTGTGGGGGACGCTGGTAAAAAGATAAACTCTTCTATTCTGTTGTTTTTCTTCTTGAAAGTATTAAGTCATTTGCAGTGCCTGACTTCCAACTGTGTTGAATTAGGTATTTAGTGGGTATTTATGTGTAAGAACTTCATGATAAGAAGATATCGGGAAATAAGAAAGATGAGTTATAATTAAATTGTACTACCTATGTAATTCTAAATGGTAATCTTCTATATGATTTAAACTTATAACCAGCAATCCAACAACCTGTTTCTTAGGGGAAACCATGCTTAGTTTAATAATAATGATGATGATGATGAAGAAAAACAAAAAAGCCCCAACACCCTGTCCCTCCAAACCAACTAAATTAAAGTTTTGAACGGTTTTTCCGTAGTATTATCCATTCTGAGGGGAAACCTGAACACTTGGGAGTGGCATATTGTCATCAGTGTTTGTGTAAAACTGCATAAGTTGACTGATGATCGAAATTTGTGTAAAATAATGTTTTATCACTCTTCAGAACATTTTTGTCATTGTGAGCTGTTGTGCTTGAAGGATAATACCATGCTAGCCCGAGAGATTTGTGCTGTAAAACTTTGTCATGACTTTGCTGTAATTTCCATATGCTGGCAGCAAGTGTCCAACAGATGCCCAATTCTGCCCAACAGTCAGAATTCAGAGGTTCTGAAGTTGAGAGGATCTCCCACTCTCATCATGTCTGGCTGGATATTTCTAGGTATTTCTCCTGTAGTGAATATCTTAATTATGTACCAGGCAGTGTTAAGTGATAGTCACATACAAATCCCTGGTGTTTTAAGTAGTTCTTCGTGTTTTGACATATTTCTTTACAGCAGTCTTTGCAAAGTTTTTCCTACAGAATTCCATCCCGAGTGGAAAACTTACTTTTGAGTTCTCTTATTTTTGATTTAGATTTCGGTAACTTTGTAAGGATTAATGTTATACACACATGCTTATCAAGCATTATGTGCTTTCTGTAAATGCACAACTTACGGATGAAGTAGTTAAGTAGAATGCTATTTGTAGTACGTAATTGTAGTGAGAAATATGACTGACAGTTTTCGGTGTTGTATACTTAGTATAGAATGAAGTAAGATTAGCTATGTATTACAAATGTCTTCTGTAGACTGATATTTTTGGAAGCAATCTAATAACATCACTATGTTTAGCTAAGGCTGTAGGAAGAAATAGATTTTTTTTAAATTTTATTTTTAATTTAGGTATCAATGTGAGTTTATGTAATTAAAGACCTTGATAATACCTGTGCTGAAAGGCTTCTTTTAATTAAAAAAAGCAAAAACATATGAAGGACTGCCTGTCTTCCAGGTTTTTTTTCATGGACTTTGAAACTGTCTTGCCAAATGTTGGCAACTGTCTGTATACTGCTTTTATAACCTAGTCAAGCAATTCTAGGTGCTAATTCATACCCTGTGCCACACGCTGTGTGGGGAGAGTGCTTCTTCAGCACTGAGTGGAGTTCATGAGCAAAAGCAAAGCATTGTTTGCATAAGTTGGCTGCACATCCTGCCAGCTTAAAGCAAAGGTAGAGAAACTTGCTTTGGTCCCTGCTTTACCTGTATAGAGCTAACCCTTGTTTCTGAGCTCCACATGCATCTACATTTCTATCTTCACGAGGCAGCTTTATGGTAGGAACAAATGTGAAGAGAATGCAGGCAAAACAGCTGGATTGCTTGGTTTTCTATTTAGGTATATCTTGTGGAAACTGACCCCTCATCATCATACTTTTCTTATACCTTTTCTTAAATAAAACTGCATCTTGCACATAGCTTTAAAAAATGTCAGTATGCGAGATTTATGGGAACTTTTGTGTAATAAGTATTGCATTCTGCTTTTGCTTAAGAACCAGAAAAATTTAAGGATTTGACGCTGACTCACAGGTTGATTTTTAAGTCAGCCAGGGAATATGGTTTAGGTGACTTAAGTATATGGGCAAGCTAGTTGGATGATTGTGCCCATGAAGCAGTTATCTGTTGCTCACTGTCAAAATGTACCTTGGCAGAGGTCAGTATAGAGAATACATTTAAGTTTGTAGGTGACTTGAAAGTATGTGATACAAGTGTGCTGGAAGATGTGCTGAATTAAAAATAATCTTGAATTGAACAAACGATTTTTCCAGTTGGGATGGAATTCAGAGGGGAAAACTGAATGTTACAATATTTAAATAGAAATTGTCAGCCTCACAAGTGGAGCCCACCGGGCAGCAGTTTTGAAGAACAGTTCTAGGGCTTACAGTAGTCGTATGTGGAGTAGGAGTCAGTGTTGTGCAGGTCTGAATAATAAATCAATGTTGTTGCTATTGTGCAAAGAGGCTGTTGCCATGTATTTAACACGACTATAACCTACAAGAACCATGAAATAAGCATTCAACATTCTTCACTTTGGTTATTATGGCCTTAAACACAATAGTACACCCATGCATCACTGCTGTTGCACTTAGAGAAATAGTGAGCAACTGGAGAGACACCAGAGGAAAGTAGCAAGAGTAATCAGACACCCAGGAAATAGGACTTCAGAGGACAAATTGAAAAGACTGGTTCTACAGAAGAGAAGACAAAGAAGGAAAATGAAAATTGTTCAGGTATGTAAGAAGCTGCCAGACAACGTGGCCATGTTCTGTTCTTCATGTCCACGTAAGGTGGAGCAAGAAGTAATGAACTTAAGTTTCAGGAGGAAGGATTCATATTAGACGTTGTGGAAATATTTTGTAATGTTAGTGAAGCACTGACGTGGATTGCTCCAAAGGGTAGGGAGCCTCCATCATGAGGAACTTACAGAACAGGTGTAACCTGTGTCTAGCAAAACTGACCCAGGTGAAACTGCTCCTTGCTTGGGACAGTAGGATGACCTTTTGAGAGCCTCTCCTACTCTGCTTTTCTGTGATTTGAAGACTGAGCTATTTATGCTGAAATGTGAATTAAAAAAAAAAAAAAAAGTGTGGTTTGGGTTTTTTTTTTCTGTGATCTATAGAAAAGTTAACATTTTGTAAAACTACCAGCAGGATTAAAAAACTCACAATGGAAGCAGAAAAATATAAAGGGCTTGCCTGACTTCATCAGAGTTCACTGACCAGGGGAAATGAGGGGAAAAGAGTGCGAGAGGCAGTGTAATTGTTTCCTTGGAAAATACAAGGGGGGAAATACAGTAATATCTGAATTTTTCAGCTTCTCTAGTAGGTGACTGAAAGAACTTATAACTCTGAGAGAGAGTTGAGAGATGGTCAAATGTCTGAGTGGCAGCTCAGCAGCATCCTATGAAGAGGTACTACAGAGCCTCTTATTTGAGGGATGAAGTCTGGTATTAACAGAGGCAGTGGGAGGTGAGTTGTAATTCATGTTGGGGTGGGAGGAGAGAACCCCAAATTCATAAGAAGGACATGAATGAGGCTTTTTCTATGCATGAGCCCAGCTAAGGAAAATGTACTTTTCCTAAGTCATTCTCAACAAAGGCTGTATGTTTTGAGGAAGAATGAGAAATATAAGCAAAGCGGGTTTGGCTGTAGAAAATTAGCAGAAAGCTATAGTTCTTCTGAGGTGCCACACGTTTTTATCTAGTGCAGCAGGCTCTAGCCCCCAGGGAAGGCAATATCAAGAAAACTTCAAGTTCTGATGAACATATGCTGACTTGGATTTGGACTAAAAAAGGTTGTGCAACCTGGACTGTAGCAGCAGTGGGTGAGGGTTTTAATTTATTTATTGTATTTTAGCAGAACAGAGCTTGCTAGTTCAGAGCTGTCTGCCAGGATGTGTAAGAAGGTGACTTCTCTTGATCAAAGTCTTGGTGACAGATGGAGTTTCCCAAGGTTTCTTACTTTCAGAAGTGCAAATGCTGATTTTTATTTTCTGCCTTTCCCGTTCCCCTTTCAAAAAAACTGAATTCTCAGGTGTTTTGTGCCTGTATGGGTGAGGAACAGCTTGGAAATCAGGGGGAATGAGAGTGCGTTTTATGTTAAGTTTTCCAGATCTGTTAAAAGTTTTGTAAGCTGGAAGAATGCAGTAAAACTGCACTTCTGTTAATAGAAGCATTAAAGGAAGTCTGGGGGGGGCATGGGGAATTAAAACTAGAAGAAATTTGTAAATTTCCTCATCTTTTGTGAAGCTTTGCAGCAGCCTCAGTACTGCAAAATACAAAGAATGAATTTTGTTTTAGTTACGTGGAGCTTGTGTATTGTCTTAAAGACAGAGATGTACATGTTGCCTTCCTAAACAAAAGGGAGGCATGAATGGGCACAGGATACTTACTTGGATGCTCTGTTTTGTATTAAATGGAGATAATTTTTGGCTTGTGTGTGTATAAAATAACTGAAGATTTTTGAACAAGAAGCTTGTGGGACAAAAATGTCTGAGTAAATAGAGAATGTAGGCTTTCCTTAGCAAATATTATAAAGCCCAGTTTAAATATTTTTAAAAATTATTATGTTTCCTGTGATTTGCAGGGATTGGCTTCAGACTTTTCTGAGTTGAGGAACTGTTAGTAGCAAAAAGCTGCTTCAAATCAGTAGAAAATGCTATGCCTTGCTGGAATGCCATTGTACTCTTGTCTTGGTCTATAATCTCATGGTCTGCTCTCAGATCTGCTAGCATTGTCTTTAGAAATATTTTGTATTACCTGTTAATTGCTGCTTTTTATTTTTAAAATGCTTAACACTTAAATGCTTCTTTGCTAAATTATAGTTAGCATTTTAGTAGCTGTCAATATCAGATTATCACTACTGGGCTTTTAGGTTGACTGTTAGCAGAAATGAGTCTGTTAGGTTGCTCCTGTCTCCTTAATACTGTAGTTGTAAAGGTGCAACTTCTGCTGGAATCTAGTTTGTCTTGTAGGTAGCTCTTTTTCAATGAGCAGGATCATGTCTTCCCTTGGAGGTGTTTTGGTCATGAGATCACTCTTCCAAACTGCAGGGCATTGCTATGTAGTAAAAATGAATAATATTCTGCCCACTTTCAGTAATATGTGGGAAAGGGTGTTATCTCATAATCTGGTACGCCAGTTTGAGTCATACCTCATTGTTAACTTCATTATATTGCTATTTTAATCTGGTATCTTCAGTGGGTAGACAGGTTCTACACAGGGCTTATTGTTACCAAAGCTATTAAGAACTCTGTTAAGGGAAATGGGGTAGTAGGAAACCACTGAATAAGCGTGTTGCGGTGTTTTGGTTTTTTGAGTGTTTTGTTTGCTTAGGTAAATAGCCAAAAAGAAAACAAAAAAAGGGGGGGGGGAAGGGAAAGAAATTCTACTACATAAAATGGTACTTTGACCTGCAGTTCCGTATTTGTATCATGTTTGGAAGACTGACACTGGTTATTTGCTGACTTTATTAGTGGTAGTGTTCTGTTTTAAAGAATCTGTTGTATAAGATTTGCTTGCCAGGGAATTTGCATGGCATCACTGTTTAGCAATGAAATCTGGCAATTTCATGTGTGCACTTTGTCCAGCAAAATATTCCAAAGTTGATTGTGTGCCCCCATTAGGAGGATAATACGGGACAGAGTAACCTAGCACTGTACCTCCACCCGATGCTCCTGTTTGTATGTAACCAGTCTGATTAAACTCATCACCTGTTTGAGACAAGGAAGTCTGAAGTGAGACCTCCCCCAAAAGTCCCATTGCTTCCACATGCCTAAAGAGGAAGAGAGATTCCTTTAGGTAAGGTTATTCAGCTGCTGAGCTGGATAGTTGTCCTACCGGGTAACAGGTTAGGAAAGTCAAGGTGCTAGAGCTGTATTTCTTGGGACGAAAAGTTTGCAAGCTGAAGACCTCATTGTGTATGCAATATAAATGATTCTAAAAAATGGTTTAAGAAAACACCACCACTACCAAGAAAAACTTACTAGTTGACACCTGTGATGATTCCAGTTCATCTTTGATTACTTCATAGTCTCTAGGCTTTAGTTTGTTCTTATTACGGTCTAAAGCAGGGGAGTCAAACACTTCTGCATGGGAAAGCAGGGAAAAATAAACTCAAAAAAGAGATGGTGGTGTCTCTAACTGTGAAAAAAACGCATCCATATGCTAATATTGTTCTGCAGATTTCACAACAGAGATTTAGTATATATTGCTTTACACGCTTTAACTGCTGGCCAACACTGGCTGTATTTGTTAAAGTGGTGGTGGCTATACTGCTTTCCCACAGTTAAGACAGAGTTTCAGCTCTTTGGAAGAAAATCCTCAAGAAGTCAACTTTAAAGCAAAGTGAGCTTGGCATCTGCATTGAGTGTTTAACAGTGCAAAAATCCTCCACCACTTGGATTTTATTTAAGCAGTTAAAACCATCCGTACCCATTTCTGAGGAAGACTGAAATAGATTACTTTTTTAAACAAAACAGAAGTTCAGTAAAGCAGATGTTATTATTTATCTTTACTGTTTAACATTGTAAATTATACTAGGAATGTTGTGTGCTGCCACTTAAAAACTAAATCATTTGTTTATTTTGAGCATTATTCCCAGGCAGGGGAAACTTCAACCTCTGTACCTTAAATATTCTTTGAAACTTAATCGGCTTGAAATTCCTAATGAGTCCTAGTTTCTTCTTCCCCTGAGAACTGCATTCTTCATACACAGAAGTATTCAGATCACCAGTTGCCTTTTCTTGCAATTTTCTTATAAATCTTTCTAATCTTGTAGCCAGGAAAGTTGGAGTTTTATTCATTTTATCATTTGCTGGCTGCTTTTTTTTAGTAAGGCAAACTCCACTTTCAGAGGTCAGTCAAAGTACCAAAAATGTTTAATTTTATGTCTTGTACAAAGAAGGGAAGTGATTGAACCAGAATGGAATGTCAAAAGGAGTCCGGATGCAATGGAAAAAAGCATTGCCACCACTGGTTCTTCTGAAGTAGATAGTTAATGCATATAACTGTTCGTGTGACTCCACAGTCTTGCCAGTAAGATCATTGTGTCTGAATATTTTTATTCCAGAAGAATGTAGCTGAAAATGAGCCAGATGATTTATTTGCTGCAAGGCATAATGGCTTTGTACATTATCTGTGTATTTTATGAATTATTCCTAAAATGGAATTAAAGTTGAGTCTTTTTTAATAAATCAAAGTCAAATATACATTTTAAATCACTTTGTGTGACAATCTCCATAGAAGAAACAAAACACTTTGAATAGCTCTTAAATACTTTCTACAGTAATTTGGAAAATACTTGCTTCTCTGCCGTGTTCTGGTTATGCTTTGTTGTAAGCTTTTGTCTGCTTAGGAGAGCGTGGCCCTGAAGGTAGACAGAGCGCTCCTGTTCATGCTGCTTTGCTCTCCAGGTTGTCCTTTTGGATGGTTGCACTGTCTGTTCTTCCACATGTGCTGGCTGCGCAGAAGTACTCAGTTTGTGTGACCTGTTTTGTTTTGCTTGTAGTAACTGAGGCATGTGTCTGTCTTTGGTTATAATTCTCATTAGCATGCATATGAGAAGCGGAGATAAATGGGGGATGGAAATGTGCAGGTGACAGAGGTCCAGGACATGGAGCTGGGCTCCGGCTGGTGGAGGTGGGCGCTCCTTCCCTGGCACAGCGCTGGTGCTGTCCTCAGCCCAGTGAGTACTGGGAGAGACTGGCAGCCCTTTGCTTCCCTGCCTTTCCTCAGATTTTCTGAGTATTACATGACCCATTTCAGTGAAATGTTCTGAAGAGAAGATTTGTGCCAGCGTTAGCAGTTCATGTCAGACAATGCAAGTGACAGGGCTGCAACTTTATGCATGCATTCTGCAGTCACTATTATATTCTAAAAATGGCACTGCGTTGCCACTGTATTATGTGGCAAAATGTTCTGATGCTTATTACGGGTTATTGCTCTGCTTGGAAGATAAACTGCTGGATTAAGCTTTTCTGATTTTTTTTTTTTTAATGATAACATTTTAAAATGATTCAGATTTGTTTGTTTTGGGGTTTTTATCATATATTCAGCTAGGTCTATGTGCAAGTGGGTTTTGCTGTTGACTTTGTCCTTGTGATAATATGCTACTCCCATTTTTGTATTGTGTCATGTGCTTGATATTGCTAAGTAACTTGACAAGCTTTTCGTTCTTCAAATTAACCATAACTTGAGTGCAGAAGTAAAAATGACGTGGAATCAGACTGATCTGCCCTTAATTCATAGAAACCAATGGTCACTCACTGTTTACCTTATTTTAAGTAAAAGGTTAAATATTATGTGTTACTTATGATCTGAAGCGTTCTTTTAATAAAAAAAGAACTGAGTTTAACTTGGTTCCTTACCGAATCACTGAACAAAAAGGAAGAAGGGAAACTTCTGTGACACCTTCGGTTTGCTTGAAACTGGCTTGTTTCTTCTCCCGCAGGTACTTGGGCGATGTTTCTTGACGGTGATGCAGGTCCACTTTCAGTTCCTGTCACAAGCTTTGCAGAAGGTCCAGCCAGTGGCACACTCTTGCTTTGCTGAAGCTGTAGCTCAGGAGAGAAAGAACGTTAGTGGGGCTGGAGCCTCAAACTTAAGCCCCACAAATGAGCTAGAAGATGCAGTAAGATCATGGAGAGGAGCAGCAGAGGTATGGAGGTCTTGCTGTAGTGACATTATATTTAGTGAAATGACAGCAATGTTTAGTGAAACCTCAACTGAGGCTGGATGCCCTAATAAAGGAAGAAAATCTCTGATTTTAAAGACATGCTACATTTGAAGGTGGGAACATGGTGCAGTTAGTTTCAGATGCTTGTTTTACCTATATGGTGATTATACTGTCTTTGCCCTGTGTAAAGTTTTCTTTGTGATGTGATTGTACCTAAGGAGTGCACAAACAGTGGAAACAGCTTTTTGTTACTAGTAATGAATTAACAATGTTCAAATGTGGTTTGCCAGACAGAGCGAATTTAAAAAAACAAAACCGAAAACAACCAGAAACCAAAGCCAACATACAAGTTGTTGTTCAAAATCATAGTAAAATCTTGATGGAAAAATAATTTAGATAATTCTAAATTTTGAGTATGCATTCTGTTTTATACTTTAAAATTTTTATGGTAACTTTTAACACTTTTGCCTTCATGCTGTTAAGTTTGATGTTCCTTGATCCATCAATTGTTGGAATGTTAATCGTATTACTTTAAATGTACCATTCCCTGGACTTGTGTTTTCACAAACACTTGCCATCTGTGGAATCCTTACTTTTCCTGCCGAAAAAGAAGTACTTTACAAAGCAAAATAGTTTCATGAGCTTTTCTGCTTTCTGTTGCACTGTTTAAGTCTGCAGACTGATAGATCAGAATGGATTCAGACATTAAGCGCATGGTTTCCTTAAATTCAAGTAACTTGGAGCATGTGCTTTTGAAGTCTAATTCGGGATCCCACACAGGCATATTAATCATCTTTGCTGGAAATCTTGTCAAGGTTTCCATTTATCAGCTAACATTTGCAAGGTATATGCAAGCAAACAAATTACCTTTAGAGCTATGAATGCAGAGGGATTATTTGTTATTTTTACCGCAGCATAGATTTACTTCACTGAATAAAAGAGGGATTTGAGAGTGCTTTAGGTGTATTACAGATAATCATAACAGGTCTAATCCTGGTATAGCTTTACTCCTTTTGCATAAAACCAGTTAATTTTATGTTTAATATACTTAGTTCCTTAAAACTGTGTTACAATTTCTAGAAATGCCCTACAATTGCTATCAAGTTTGTTTAAAATGTGGTTAAAATTAAACTTGGGTTTGCAGAATCCGGGACCTTAACTTTCTTTTCTGCCTCCTTAACAGCCCACTTGAGCTATTTCTGTTAATAAGACCTTTATTTCGAAATAGAGTTTAGTACAAGTATTACACTAATCAAATCTTTTATTAAATGTAAATGGGGAGAAGAGAAAAATACAGATTGTCCCTAGTTCCAGAATAACAATAGAAGGAACTTCTCAATTTTTACGATTGACTAAAATAGCTAATCTGAAGTTCTTGTGTGGGGTTTTAGGGCAGTGTAAGAAAAATCTGTGCTCTGTAAATAAATAAAATCTCTTTCTCTTATAATTGTAGGTAGACTAATATACATGTCATTTTGATAGAAGGGAGATTTGAAATACTGAAATATTTCCAAATTTTTACTTTGTGGAGTGGAAGGCAATCCGTTATTTCCATATAAAATTAGCTTCTTTGGCAGGAGAATACACTGCTGTTTCAGAATAAAGTTTAAGATGATACTCTATCGGTAGCTCAAAACTATTTTTCCTTTTTAAGATTCTCACTTGGAAAATGCTGTAATTTTGTATGTGTCAATGAGGTGAGCACTATGTCTGTCCGTTGGCTGTAGTACCAAAAATCCCCAGTTTGGACATCCTGCTTTAGAGTAAGACTCGTCCTAGACTGAAGAATAAGCCATATCTGAGGCCTTAAATGCAGTTGAGAGTAGGTTTCTATTTGTTTCACCCTGCTCAGTAGTTTAATATTTTACAGTTAAAGTTAGATATTTGGCTTTTCATATTTCTTATTTTTCAAAATCATACTATGTAAAGCTATTCTCTTGCCATGCTGAGCTGGTCTTACAGTCTGGTGTGGCTCTTCTCAAATTGCACTACAGTAATCATCCTTAGTTTTATAAAATATATCTTCTTATGTACACAGGAGTGTTTGTACACATGATTAAATGTATATTCTGGTTCTGTGGCAAGTAATACCCTTTATGTTGAAGTTTTAAGTTCCTCCTCTGGTAACCAGAGTCATCATGTGGCCTGTGTAACAGGATCCTTAGTCCTGGGAGGGAGCTGAAATAGTAACAGCAAACAATGTTGAATTAAGTTGCTAGCCAACACCTATATGCCATACAAATTACATGAGATTTGTACTTTCAAAGCAGCGGTGGAGGTTTAATAAGTTAAAATAAATCATTTCCTCCTGATCCTTTCCACCAGGTGCTGCTTCTCATCTCTTTTATAATGTTTTAAAATCTGTGGGTTTTTTTTTTCTCTTTTTTAAAATTTAATTAAGCTTGACCTGGTTTAATGTTGAACCTCTTTACCCTGGATTTTTATTTTACTTTACAGGCCACATCTCGACTGCGAGAAAGAGGCTGTGATGGATGTTTGGCAGGAATTGAAGTTCAGCAACTTTTCTGCTCACAGAGTGTGGCAATCCCTGAACATCAGCTCAAAGAGCTAAACATGAAAATTGACAGTGCTTTGCAGGTGAGTTTTTAAACTTGCTGCTTTCATGTGCATTGTAGTACAGTCAGGGGGCCAAGGAATGAAATAGGGAAGGAGTATATTACTGGAGAAATATGTACCACAGGTAGCCACAAGGTATTTGAGAATTACAGTATTGGAATCTTACGTGATAAATGTGTGTATGCCATAGAACTGAGTAGGGTAAATCCATGTAACAATTCTTATGTATGTGTCCAGACACAATGACTGCATGCTTGCTTACTTGCTGATACGCCTGTTCTATCTCAACTTTTTCTTCAATGTCAGGCTTACAAAGTGGCTTTGGAGAGTTTAGGCCATTGTGAATATGCAATGAAGGCTGGCTTCCACTTGAACCCGAAAGCTATTGAAGCAAGTCTTCAGGTAGGGTCTGCTAAACCTGCTCTCTCTTTCATCACTCCTCACCTTGAAAATAACTATTTTAAAAAAACCATTGGACTTGTATTAGGATTTTCTAAAATCTTCATTTCTTCTAATTGATCTGTTCTTTTATGTTTAAGGGCTGTTGCAGTGAAGCTGAAGCCCAGCAAACAGGAAGGAGACAGACTCCACCTCAGCCAATTCAGTGTGAACTGCCCACTGTACCTGTTCAGATAGGATCGCATTTTCTGAAAGGAATATCCTTTAATGAGTCTGCAGCAGAAAACCTGAAGCTGAAGACGGTAATAACTCTGAATCTAACCACAGGAGTGAAGAGAGAAAGAAAAAAAAAAAAGGAAAAAAAGAGTAGAACTCCTTAAAATTCAGAGACCAACTGCAGTAGAAGTTCGGTGCCAAACTTGTATTTAAAAGTGCATATTTTTAGCCTGACTTCCTGTGGAAGCAAGATGTTGATAACATTGTAGGTCCACGCCTGCTTCTGGTAATGTTTTAACCACCTGGTCAAATTCAGTCCAATCTGAGAGAAGCATAGAAGTCTAGGAGGTAATGAAGCTTCTATGAACTTTTTGAAAATAGGTGGGTTAAGTGTCAAGAAGTACAGAGGAAAGTGAGCCCTTACAGGTGCCCCAACCAGGTGATGCACTTCAGAGCTTTTATCTTCTTAGGTGCCAAAATAAGTCTGGCCCAGCCTAGTGCTAAAAGGAGGTACTTGAAAAAATATTTTGTAACAGAGCTCCTTTTAATGTCTTTTTACAAACTCTAATAATATTTTTAAAAAAATTATTTAAAACTGTGGAGACATTAATTGTGGTTTCAGTATAAAGGAATGGAAAAGATGTCCATTCAGAAGTAATTTGGGCAATTTTAATCAGCATTTTTACTTTTTTTTTTTGTAGATAAGCCCAGTTCCTTGCTCCTGAAAGAGTTGAAACAATCCACAGCTCAAAATGCTGCTTTTTTTATTGTCTTTGCAGTGCTTCTTGTAGTTTTGATTAAACCATTTTGCAAGAATATAAGCAAAAATATTGTTTATGATTTTGGAGGAGTATTTTGGTCCAAATAGCAGAGACTGTCTTCCATATTTCTGTTCTGTAGTTGAGCTCTTCTAGTTGTAGAAGACTGTTCAGAGGTAACACACATTATAGTTATTTGAAATATGTGTAGAACAATACATATGGAAGCGGTGGTATCATTTCTGAATCATGTGTTTAGTATGACAAAGTTTTTATGATTTCCCCCCCCCACAGCACACAATGCTGCAGTTGATTAAGGAAGCTGGATGCCATAATGGACTTACACCACGGGATGACTCTCCTGTTACTGAAGTACTAAATCAGGTTTGCCCTTCCACTTGGCGAGGAGCCTGCAAAACTGCTGTACAATTGTTATTTGGCCAAGCTGGACTGGTAAGTGACTATGAATAGGCTTAGCAAAAAAAGGGCTACTTAAACATCCTGAAGAGAAACTAGATATTTTAAAGGGTTTGGAAATTAATTTCCAGTGTCTTACTTTTGTGTTTCTCCATTTTTAATGCTGCAGCTAACTTGATTTATGAAAAAAATGTATCCTCATAGAATGCAAGTTTGTAGATGGTATCTGTAGTTGATAGGAACAGGAGAATGTACTGTGTACTTCATATTCTCCATTATTAGAGAGAGCACAAGAAATGAAACTTCTAATTCATAGTGAAATAGATTTTCAAATCTATAGATGACCATGTTAAAAAGAAACACCCCTTCCCCCCTTTCCTTCTCTCAGATGAGCTTTAAAAACTGCCATTTTTTCATTTCCTCTCTGCTTTGAATGGAAGCTGGGTTTCCTGCCCAACGTAAACCAGGAAGTCCTCTGCACCAAGTAATGCTACCTGACATCTCCAACAGGACAGAGCAATTAAATACCTTGCTGTAGACATATGTGTTCATTAGAAACAAACCCCATGGATTTTACAGTATCTAAACAATTGCTAAAAATAGATGCTTTGGAACATACTCTGATAAGAAAATGCATTTGTGCTCCCATAACTAATTACTGCTATCTCTTCATTTAATAAAGTGTTCATTCATGACACAGGTTTTTTTGGACTACTGTGAGTTTTCATTTGACTGGACAAATAAAATGGGGGAAAGACTGCAATAGGATAGGAAGGAAATGCAAGCATAAAGGTACACCGTAGCCTATGATCGTTTCTGTCAAGTATTTTCATCATCTTTAACCTACAATGAGTTGATTCATATACTGATTCTTTGTTCAAGGTGGTGGCAGGCCATCAGGACTCTCTAACTAACTGTAACTTCTGATGAAAGGATTCATATTGCTACATACTTTGTAAATACCACATTTTTTCAAACAAATCACGCGGCTGATTAAGTGACTTTGACCTTCTGTCCTAGTTCATTAAACCATATGTTTTTTGGTACTGTTACTAGGTTCTCCAATAATGTAAATAATAAATTTGTCAGATATTTCTACTTTAGCATTCCTTTGATACTAGTTATTAGATATTCCCTTAATATTAAATATCTGTTAGAGAAGTAGGTTCAAATCATACTGGAATTCAACTGACTTTTCATGTAAAGGCGGCCTAAAATCAAAGGGACGGACCATCAGTATCATAATAGCAGCGCACCTGCTATCAGTCCTTACTTCACTGTGATACAGGGGTTTAAGGATAGGAGATGGTAGTGCATTAACCACTTTGTAGAAGGAAATTTTACAGGGAGGCATAAGAAGGTGGTATCTTTGTAGGGAGAGAAAGTCAACTGTGGAATAGTAGGACTGATCAAATTTCTGCTTAGGTGTTTTCAAGGAAAATAGGTATTAAATATTAATAAATACAAGAAGAACTAGAAAAAAGGATATGGTTAAGTGGGATTGTGTCTTCACCTGCCATAGTTCATGGTAGGATGCTGGGAGTCAGCAGCAAGGTATGGGAAATGAGGCCAAGAAAGAAACTGTTTCTCAGCAGCCCTATGGGAGTGTGCTGTAACTCACGATAAGTTCTTGGCTCCTGAGTGTCTAGATGAGGAATGCCTTGGAGGATGCTGCACCTCCCACTGTTTCCTTTCCAGGGGATTTTAGGGTTGTGCACACCCAAGTCCTGCCCTGATGAGATTTGGGGAGTGGCTGGAGGCATATTTGGACTCGAGATTCTGGAAATCTGGTGTCCCCAAGTCTAGACATAACTCGTTAGACCTGCTGGTAATTAAAGCGCTGATACTCTTCAGGTTTATCATAACATTTGGAGAGTTGTCAGAATAAAACTTACTTAGACATTCTCCCAAATGACAGTGCTGATATAAGGAATATTACTTGTGTTGAATCATGAATGTCTCCAAAGATTTTTGCATGAACCTCAGGTTCTGAAGGTAGCAGGTTTCTGTCTTCAAAGACACGGTAACGAGCTATACACATGACAAAATACTTGCAAGCCTTCTCTCTTTCGTTCGTTCTCGCTTTGATTTGTTGCAATTTGGAAGGGTGTGAGGGTTGAGGTTTTTCTTTTTAAACTATGTGCTATAATTTTTTTACAGCATTCAATTATGCTTGTATGTAGCCTCATGCAATGATGAGAAATTGTAATTTGCTTCTTTAAAGCATTCTTTGGGTGGAGATGAGAGAGGAAACACCTGTAAAACAAGAACAATAGATGTCTGATGCACAGGAAGCTATCCTCTAAGCACCCACCAGGCGGGGAGGGAGAATGTGTTTATTTTAAGTTTATTTTGTGTAGAACTCAGACAAATGAATCATGGGACAATATTACATAGTCTTTGGTTTACTGCTTTAGAAACTAAGCTGTCTGCATTAGTTCAGAGTTGTGTGTAAATTTGTCATTTAAATGCCAAATTTAAAAAAGAACATTACTTGACAGTCTCGCTATCTTTAGCCTGTCTTGCCATGTGCCTTTTAAGAAGAAACTCATTAGGAGTGGAAAGCACAATGAGATGTGACTTAGTTTGCGTGGTTATTTTTAGGCTTCAGTTCTTCTAACATAAGAAATAATTCTTAAAAGGGCGGTTTTTCAGTTTTTACCTTAGCATATATATATATAAAGAGTTGTATTCTCAGATTTGGGTCAGCTGAAGAAATCTCCATCTTTGAGTAAAAGTAATGTGTATTAAAATGGTTGAATTCAGAGGATGAGTGGAAATAAAACTTTGAACTCTCCTTGTGCAAAGTTATGAACAGAATGTTTAACTGAGTCTCTAGCCATCCTTTTTTGTGCTAGTAGATCTTTCTGTAGCAAAAAACCCAACATGCATTGCAGAAGCACTAAATCTCCTAGTAATGTTTAAATCCCGGATGTCGTAACTCTGACCAAATGTTGACAAATGTAAAACTTTAAAAAGGGAAGAAAGGAAGATAAGGGGGTGTGGGGGTGGAACACCCCCAACAAAGCCCAGACCATGAGCACTACCATGCACCACTGCCAGAAGCTGATCTAGGTCTGCACAAATCAGAATTTTAGTTCTGACTTGCAGGTCTGAGATGCAGACAGTGTTTTTCTTGGGAGCTGAAAAAAAAAAATCACTCCTAAGTTCATCTCTCCTTATCCCAATTATAATTGCAGTATAGCTGAATCGCAGATTACCAAATTACATAAAATTAAAATGGTACAAATACAAGGAAAAAAGTAATGGAGTTGCCCTGTTATTAAATGAGGTATTTTCATGAGTGGATAATATCATAGCATTTTGTCACTGGGCTTAGACATATTTTACAAGTTTGAATAAACTTGGGCAAATGCTTAAAGTCAACTGGGGGAAGACTAAGGCCTTATGCTAAAATATCTAAAAGGTGGGAAATAATTGTGTTCAAATGTCATCACATGGTTTTGTTACAGGAAGAGGGAGAAGAGACTCTCAGCATTATTCATATTTCGCTTTTCTTCATAACCAGTAGTAGACAACCAGTTAGAAGTAGAACCAGTGTAGGATGATTGCAAAAAAGCCAGTAATATCCCTTGAGGCTTATTTACACCAGAGGACTTTTGCCATTTCAAGGGTAAATGGTACAGCTAATCTGCTAGTCACTGAAGCAAGAACTGCTGACTGCTGCCAAAAAGCTGCTGGTTCAGCATGACCAAAATAGGAAATTATGGAAATGATCAAAAAGGCCAACCCATGCAGACTGGACAACATCAGAAAGTATGAACCAAATATGGAACTTACTATCACTGGTATTACAAGTTTAAATGAAGCTGAAGTGAATCCATTCTTTCTCAATTCCATAAAAAGAAAGGTTCATGACAGAAGGGTAATTTTGAAGACTTTCATCTTCCATATATCTTAATGATGTCTTACAGAAGGCTCAGAATTCAACAAATTGAATCACTTTTCTTCCCTTTATATAACAGGGAATTAATAATAGTGCAGTTCCATTAGGTAGACTAGAGAAGTGTTGGTGTTGGATTTTATAGCCTTAAAAGGAAGGGGTGTGTGTTCAGAATTGTGAGCTATGTGAAGAGTTGCAGACTAAATACTACTTGTCTGTATCATACCATGCACTGCAGTTAAATTATTTAAAGTATTTTGATAAATAGGTGTTTGGGTGCTATTAAAGTAGTAATAGTGCCAAACCTCCCAAGTGCTTGGCTGTTATACGAACCCATTGATAATTACCAGCTGTTAGATAAAGCAGTTGGTAACTACATAGTGATGCATAACTACAGTATGTAATTGAGAAGAAGCAAGTCCTTGAAATATAGGTTACTGTATCAAACTAATTTTATATTTTCCTTTTTTTAGATATTTAAATAGAAATCAACTTATAATGATTTTGTGAGTTGATCTGGTTTTATCTGGTTACTTCCTGTAGTGTAGCAGGAAGGTGAGACTTGCATCTTAACCACAAGGGTGATAAAATAACTAGAACTAATTCTTAAAATCATTTCCCTTTTATTTTCATGCTAGGTGGTTGTGGACACCGCACAGATTGAAAATAAAGAAGCCTATGCTCCTCAGATAAGTTTAGAAGGATCCAGAATTGTGGTGCAAGTTCCATCAACTTGGTAAATAAAAATACTGCATTGCAGATTATACTAATAGCTATGACTGAAATATATAGGGAAAAATATTGCAGTACAAATGGAAGAGAGAATACTACACAATTATGGTATATCTGCCTTAAGTTCCTTTATCTGGAACTGTCTGAGTACCACTGTTTCTGACAGACTGACAGTTGTACTTCAGCTGTCTTTGCACTAGTGCTGCCTCTGGAGGCAATGGAAGAGAGGCAGTAGTGGGGCACTAAAACATACTTCTGAAGAAAAAGCTTGATGATGAAAGAGAATGTTTAAAAAATATATAAAATAAATCCAATGGCATTCCTGTTACGCTCCTCCCTGGCAGGTCCTCACAGCTGTTACTCAGGAGAGCCAGGAATTAGGTGAGATTAATATGAGAGCTTTCGCTCTTTCTTCACTGAGCTGTTCTTTAAGTGCTGCCATGAATCGCAGAACTTGGAGGTCCATGAGATGCTATTCCTACCAGTTTAGTTGACTGCCTAGGAAAGAATGGCAGGATTAGTCTGCAGTTTAGGTGAGGATTTCTTCCCTTTTGAAACAATAACTTGGAATTAGACCACTTCCTTTCTCTCTTACTTCGGAGTACTCGGCGTTACGAATTTCAGTACAACACAGTTTATTCATCTGAATCCTTAGTGAGATAGCCTGTTACTAATGGTACCAATGGTATGTCCAGAAGCATGAGTCAACTGATAGTCTGTTTACCCAAACACATCTTTAATCCCTCTGTAGATTATAAACTGGCACTTCTCTGTTCTCTTTATGTAAATTGCTCTATTATGAAAGAACTAAAATAATGCAGAGTGCTTTGAGCGAGGCTTTGTGTGCTCTGGAAGAGCTCCGCCTGCTGACACATAGTCAGAGTGCCTCTTTACTCATCTCTGCTGGAGGGGCTCATTAAGTACTGACAAATGTGCTAATATCTAGATTTCGGTTACTCTGATTTCACCTCAAATTCAGTCCTAATTCTGTGCCACTAATGAGGAAAATTCACTAATCCTGCACCTTCACAGCTCACTAAAATCTTCCCCAGACTGTTGGATATGGTGAATCATTTTCCACATGGAGTCTGTCAGGCTGGGGGTTCTTAGCGTTGGACTCCAGAGTGCACCCACGTGCTAGTGTCTTCTGTCAGGTTTGTTGAGTGCTCTTGCCATTTTCCAGAAATGGGCTTTGTGTATTCATTGTTTCTTACCTTTGTGCCTAAATTATGCCTGCTCAGCTAAAGAGCCAATCATTAATCATGGTTTTAAAAGAAATTATATAACTCTTAATGTTATAGTTAGATTAGCTGTATATTCAACAGTAAAAAGAAACGGGCTGCAGGTGTAGCCTTTAGGAACCCTCAGGCATTCATACATTGTGCTGCCTTTACTAGTTGCACCTCTGTAGGAGCAGAAGTAGTGCATCAATTGGCCCTTTATTATCTGACTAGTATGGTGAAATTGTTTAATGTAAAAAAGAAAAATTTTGATTTGTAAGTTAAACTTAATGATTACAGGTGTCTGAAAGAAGATCCAGCAACAATGTCTTTGCTACAGAGGAGTCTGGATCCAGAGAAGACTTTGGGACTAGTCGATGTGCTCTATACTGCTGTGTTTGACATACACAGGTGGAAGGAAGGAAGGTACATCTCCTCTTGAGCCTCATGCTCTACTTCCCTAGTTTAAACAAAGCCATCATTGTTGAAAGATCTGTACCGAGGAATTCGATAGTACCGGTTCATCAGAAGGGGGAAGCAGTAGTCAAACTGGGAGCAAAAACCTGGTAATCCACATGGGTACCTTGTGGGTATGTACAGAGATACAGCACTCTTTCAAAAAACAAACCAGCAGCTTATCCATGTGCACAAAAGTATTTGTTCCTCTCTTACAAAAATACTTGATTTATATTAAATTAGTCTCCATTTAGGTCTTGAAGCACAATTAAAATTTCTTAAGGAATGGAAAGTAGTTAATGCTATTGCAAATACTAGTAATAGTTTGCATTGTTACCATAAGAAGTAGCTGATGAACTTGGCAATCTTTGGTTGTGTTTCTTCCACTAGCTGTTACCCAAATACACATTTTTCTGCAAAGTACCAGCTCAGTTATGTATTAGGTGGTTTGATATACGTGTTTTTGTTGATGCAGGGAGCAAGCTTTGCCTTGTATTCAGATCCAGTTACAGCGTGAAATCTCAGACTTTGGGAATCAAGTTGACATGCCATCCGGAAATGGAAGCAAGTCTTCAGGTGGTCTACAAAAGACATTCTCAAAACTGACTTCACGGTTTACAAAAAAAACTTCCTGCACCAGTACAAGTAATACTGGAAATTATTCAATCCCCAATACACCTTCCAAAAATGTCTTCATAAGTTCCAACTCAGAGGAGAAAGCTAAAATGCCCACTAACATAGATGCGCGGTTACAAAGCATTTTGAACATTGGTAATTTTCCTAGGACTGCAGATCCACTGCAGTCAATTCAGAGCACAAACAATCAGCTAGTGAATGGGTTTCTAGTTGAAAGACAGGACAACTTCTTCAAACCGGATGACACCAAGGATGACAAAGGTATGAATTTACCAACTGACCAAGAAATGCAGGATGTTATAGATTTCTTGTCTGGTTTTAACATGGGCAAATCCCAGCAGACTTCTCCGATGGTGAAAAGGAGGAACTCTGTTGCATCCTCGACAGCAACAGAGCAAAAATCAGGAACAGTACAACAGCAACCGCAATCTGTCTCTCTTACACCACTGCATCCCTCTCAGCAGGGCTTGTCACAGCAACAACAGTCACAAAAGCAACAGCAGCAGCAAATGCAGTATTACCAACACTTGCTTCAACCTATTGGACCACAGCAACGTGTACCTGCCAAATGGCTGACTAACTCTTCACAGCAGCCAGCCCAAGCTGTTGGAGCTGGATTGTCTCATTTAAACCAGTGGAACAATCCTGGTTTTTCCGATTTAAGCTCTGATTTGTACAGCTTGGGTCTTGTGAGCAGCTATATGGACAATATGATGTCAGAGATGTTAGGACAGAAACCACAAGGACCTAGGAACAACACATGGCCAAATCGTGACCAAACTGATGGAGTGTTTGGGATGTTGGGAGAAATCCTGCCTTTTGACCCTGCAGGTGTGTGTCTTTTCCTTTATTATGTTTTTTATAAGGGTTCTTTTACAAAGAATACTGTTAAATATTGCTAGTAATAACTAATTTCCTGCTGCTATCCACCAGATGCTAGGGTGCTTACAAAGGCAAGCAGGTATTTATATGTATGCCTGTTTTCTTTTTTAACAGAAGGTGAACTGAAGTACAAGCAACTTTCATTAATAAATAAGAATGGGAATTAATTCCTTGTTTCTTGTCCCAGTTGTAGTAGTTCTGACCTTTCCTATATGGACCACATCAAAGTACTGAAAGAGACTTACAGATTATGTTCCTCCTATTGTTAACATGTAAAATTGTTTAAAACCAAACTCTTGAACTTATGTATTTTACCTCTCCCCAAAATGATCCTTCCTGCTCTTTACCAGTCTCGCAGTCTGGAGATACAGCCGGACTGCATCTTTCCCATATCCCTGCATTTTCCCTCCATTACTGTGCAATTCCATGGGAGTCATGCTGGTTCCTGTTCTACAGCTGTGACTGCAGTGAAAAGCTTGGATGCTGAAGGATTAGAGACTAAAGAGCAAGTGCCATGTGGTTTGCCAGATGTGTTTGAACCACCAATAAATGTTAAATGTAGAGGGATTATTGTTAAAGATGACGTGAGATAAAATTTTATAGCCATAAGCAAATAGCTAAAGACTATGAAATTGACTGTAGAGTCTTAAGAGGAGATTAATGAATTCTTCTGATAGCAGTACTAAGAACAACTTACAAATCTATTCTCTTGTAAATATAGTTTCTGTTGGCCTGGAACATAGCTACAGAAACTTTGTAGTAGGCATTTATGGAAACTGCCTGGAGGGAGGCAGCACTAGAACTCACAGGAAAACCTTTTATCAGACCATGAATCCGTTTCCCGCACTCATTTGCACATGTGTGTGTGTGTATGTGTTAGCACTGTGTAGGCGTCTCAAACCAGCTCATTTGACTCATAATTTTGATAGTTATTTTGTCAACTTAGTTGATAAATTAGTGGCAAAAATAGGCATCATAGTTATCAAAAGCTTCTTAACAATGGTAAGTCTGAATTACCATCATCTTATTTAAACATACTTATGGTATATACTTAAGGATTATCACAGCCTTTAAGGAAGGATAAAATGATTTTCTGCAAGCACCAAATACATATATGTGTCAGGAAAAAAATGCATGTATATACAACGGACTGGCATTTTTAGCATTTTGAATCCTTCTGTAGTATTTTCCTTCCGATCTACATAAAGCTACTTGTTTTGTTCCATTTGATATGAATATCAAGGACTTTGAAAGCAGTACTCTGAAAAAGTGACTTACTCAGTATTTTCCATAGATCTGAGGTTTAAAAAAACAAAACCAACCAAAAAAAAAACCCCTTCAGTCAAATAATTTTTTCCATTGGAAAGATAACGTTTCTTCATATAACTTGTTGGCTTGAGCTGTGATGCAGGAATTTTCAATTTAGCTCTAGTTAGCGTAGTACAGGAAGCTTTAAACACGAAACACTCTTTCATTTCCAGACTTTCTTAGGAATTTGTACATTTGTCGTATGAAACAAATGGCATTACTTTTTTGATAAATATTTTTAGAGCCTGAAAATGATGTCTCCTTTCAGATGCAAATCTGCTAATTAAAAATTTATAAAATTGATGGCTTTTCATGTCAAAGGCTTAACTAGCTATCAAAAGTGTATTTTGCAGTACTTCTATCATCTGTAAGAACTTGATGAAGGAATGTTGCAGTAAGAACTAGTAGAAGGAATGTTGATATCTCCAGGTCTTTTGAATTACTTTCACAGATGTGAAAAAATGAAGTAAAAAACATATCTGATAAAAAGCTGTTTAGCTGATATGTTTTTATTGAGGTAAAAATTAACACAAGTTGCTATTTTGAATATAACAGTAATTTAACCCTTAATGCTATCCACAGGAAAAAAAACCTGGATGCCCTTCAGAATCTATCTAGAATCTGTCCTTAGATCTGAGGATCTGTCTAGCTTCCAGCCTCATCTTAAATTGACATAAAGATATTTCTCAAAGAGAACAAGTATTGTGGGAATGTTTTGTTTGTATACAGCTGTCAGATAGCTCTGTCCTTTGCTTATATAACAAAGGATGTATAGAAACAAAATTATTTTCTTCCTTGTTGTTTTAATTTCCATCCAACAAAACATTGTGAAGCTCTTTTCTGAATGTGCCAGATGAAAACAAGGAAACTTTTCTTCTAAATGCTGAATTGAATTTAGGGAAGCCATCACATGAAAGACTGACTTCTGCTTTCTGAGCTGTGCATGCTTGTTGGATGTTCTTCAGTCTTCGCTCTTAATTTAAAACTGTGACCAGCAGCTCTGTACTTCCTGCTGCAATTACCATGCATGTAGTCTAGACATTTTCCATTAATCCAGTCGGATTGCAAAGATTTCCCTCAGGAAAAAGAAAGGAAGAAAAAAAAAAAGGCAGAAACAGAAGCTGTGGAAACTCAATTACACTGACTTATAACAGTATTGTTTTTAATACATGGATTGTTTGGTCTGATCAATTGAGCATTTAAAACACTTTTGGATTTTTGGGATTAAGGCTTTGCTGTGTCTGCTCAAGATCATGCTTATCACTTATCAGATCACTTATCAAATGCTTGGGACATATAGCACTTTAATAATGGAAGAATTTTTAAGAATTACTGCTTTTTTCTGTAAATATCAATCTTATTCTGAAATATTTTGCAGGTCAGGATCAGAATGTTTTCAAAATTGTTGTCTAGTCTTTGTAGGAAGTAGGCAATATCTGGGCTGTATGTTCTAATATGATCAATCTGAAATTCTGATTTCTTGAAGTAAGCAGGATCACAACATAGCTGGAAATCATGTTGCAATCTGGAATCAACTACAATAATTGGTATGTTCTTTTTCTCTGAGCTTGGATAAATGTACAGGCTTTAATTCCATCAGTGTCTGCTGATCGGATATTGGATCTTTCAGTGTGTAGACACAATCATAGTGGCAAATACCAATTCCCTGATCAAATGCAAGGGGCAGGTGTACTTCCATGTGAGAATTATTATCCACTGTGTATGGACGGTGCATATCTACTTTTTAAAAACATGTCCTATTCAGTGTTCTTCGCTGCTCCATGAAGAGGTGTTAGCTGTTGTCTGGCATTTATTATCAGTGAGAGAATTACTTGCTGTTGTGGGGTTATGGTCAAGCCTAAAAGATTAAAAGAGGGGGATAAGTGCAGTAGAAATAGCTGAATGTCAGCATCTGACTTCTTGGTTTCTTTTATTCAGTTGGTTCAGATCCAGAATTTGCCCGCTATGTTGCTGGGGTCAACCAGGCTATGCAACAAAAAAGGCAAGCACAGCATGTCCGTCGTCCAAGCAACACACGTAGCAACTGGCCTCTTCCTGATGATCCTCATAAAACCTGGCCCTTTCCTGAGTATTTCACAGAAGGGTAAGAGATTGGACAGGCTACATACTTTTATTATATATGAGTTTATTTTACATTCAAACTTGGCAGAATGTGGGAATACTGCGTGTTTTTTCCAGTTGCTGCTGCATCTGTGAAAGCTGCACTTCATTATGTCAAGAGAGAAATCTGAGCCCTTCCTGCTTTGCTGATACCGAAGCACTGACATTTGTTTGATGTCTTTCTTTAGAGTGGAATGCCTACCGACTTTGACTCGAACAGAGGAAATAAGGAACTTATAGCACAGATTCATTCAGAATAGTTTTCTTTAAGTTATTTTGAAAACCTTTAAGACCTAGTTTTGATGAAAAGTGATGCTATCAAGGTTGCAGTGCCTGACTGAATTCAGCTTTCCAGATTTTAGCTGTTTAATCTTGCTACTGTAAGGCAGGTACCTTACAGCAAGTATGTTAGTCGTTCTTAATTTCTTCCAAATCATAATTACATATTATGACAAAAGTGTTTCAAGATTCTCTGTCCATTTGTCCATCATTTAATAGCTGTGACTCTCAAGCTAGCTTAAAACCAGTAGGACAAGTATGTGTTCCAACTCAGTTTTGCAATGAAAAAGTCAAGTGCTTAGTGTGTCCATACCCAAGGATCACTTGTTTCTCCTTCCTGACCAAGAAAGGCACTTTTGACTTATATAATTATTTTAGTAAAATATATATAAAGTGACTGTAATGGACAAAGCAGTTGATGTGATCACTCAGAAGTAAATAAGTATTTGTATTACTGCTACATCTTACAAAGTATTGAAATTTCTTTGTTGTCTTAGGTATCACCTGTGACAAAGATTCAGCATACCTAACTAGGGCGTACAGTCTGGACCAGGCACTATAAATACAAGGACTAATACAACTTTTTGTCTTACAGTGATGTGACAAATAGCTGGTCTGGTACTCAAGGAGACTCTGCCAGCTCAAGTGACGAGACCTCCTCAGCTAATGGAGACAGTTTGTTCTCCATGTTCTCAGGGCCAGACCTTGTTGCTGCTGTAAAGCAGAGAAGGTGAGCAAAATGAACAGAAATACATACCACTTCATAAGATTTTTCTTTTTTTTGATAATTTCATTTGAGTAGCCACACAAAGGAAATTCCTGCTAATTAGACAAACTTAAACAAATGTCAGCTTGCATACTACACTGATGATACAGATCAGTGTATAGAGTATCTGACTTCAATGCTAGGGATTCCCAATTTGAGTTATATTAGTACCTGTCTCCTCTGTGCAAATAGCTAGTTGTTAGCTGAAATTCAGTATGTCTAGAAAAGATCTGATGCTTTCTCTCTTCCAAGATGACCTATTTTGGATGTCATTTCTTTCTAAACTAGTGAGGCATTAGAGATCATCTTTGAATTGGGTTTTCTAAACTGTGTACTTCACTGCAGCTTTGTCATGCCCATAATGTGCATTTTGATGCCAGCAAGTTCTCATTTCCTGGCTTCTACTGCAACTTTGTGGCACTCAGGAAATACTGCTGATAATGTTGTGTAGACTTTTGTCTCACCTTGCCTACCACTGCTGTTTTAGTAGTCATAAATACATGTCTATTTAGTCCTTTATTTCTGACAATATGAAGAGGAGCCTTAATTGCATTCATAAATAAGCTTAGTACCTTAAAAACAAAGACAGGATTTTCAGGTATGAACAATCCACTTAAAAGTAGTAGTATGAATTACAACAATTGCTTTCTGCTTTTCTAAAGGGCTAGAAGCTGGGTATCTTTGGAACCTCAGTGATTCCATAGTAGAGGGTAGTTAAGACAATAATAAAAGGCACAAGATGAAGCATGAATACCAACCCAATTCCAACCTGGGATCATTCTCTCAAACTGTTTTTCATGAGCTAGTTTGGTGGCCAAATATTCTATATTTGTTTAGATCACAGGAATTTAAAATAATGAGACTAAGGCAAGCAGGTTGAAAGGAGTTGACCAAAAGAGGAGCTGTCTTCTGAATCTTTACACTTACCAAGACTTTATACAGAGGGGACAGAAACTGAGCTTCAATAAATGCTAAATTGAAATTATGGAAGAGAGCTATCTAATAAGCAGTCACAGAAAAAGTAGTAATTATTTGTGTTTTTAAAAAAGAAGCAGGGAAGGAAAACAAAATAAGCCTATAATGGGTGAATTGAATTAATCTGCCAAGCCACCAGGTATGTAGATTGATCATGGAGCAAGAAGAACAAAAGCCTGTGCTTTATGTAATGCTCTGAAGCATAAGAAAGTTTCCAAAGAGTGTGCTTCATTAAATAAAAACTTAAGCTGAAGTAACAGTACTACTGTCTTGTTACTTTTAGGAAGAAAAACATTCTACAAGCGAGGGCCAGACAAAATACCATAGCTAAAACTATACAGTAAGAGAAGGCAAAAGGGTTGAGCGTTCTAAAGCTGACCTGCAAAGGACTGCTTACCTATGGAGGCCTCATGATTGGAGCATGGTGATTTTTTTTTTTTTTTTTTTTTAAAAAAAGGGTGAAAGGATAAAAGATTCTGCTTTAACCTGACAGCCCCACCCCGCCGCCCCAAGGTAAAAATCTTTCAGAATGCACAGGGTCAAGGACTTCTATTTGATATTAGGTATTAGGTTACAAATTTAAACCAAAGGTATAACACTTTTCCTCAGTAAAGTCACCGTGCTTCAGCAGATGTTTCACTTGCTCAACTGTTTCTTTTGTCTTGTCTGTAAAGTTATTTCAGAAAAGATACTTTAAAAAAAACAAACCAAAACAAATGAGAGCAGATAACAGAAGAAAAAAAAGGCAATTTCTGGCAGACTTCTTCAAAGTGGGCAGAAGACTAGCCCATCTTCCTTTCACCTCTACAAAAACGCGTGCATGTTGCTGAAGCTGTAGCTCAAAAAACTATGGCACTGTCAAGCCTCTGACAGTATTCAAAAATGAATTTCTTTCTGCATTGCTGCTTTTACCTCTACTGAGCAAAAATGCATGAAACAAGATGAAGCGTCAGTACACATTCTAGGCTGTCAAGTACGACAGACTGAAACTACAAAATGGTATATGCCAGTGGCAGATTAATGTGGGTGAGTCATTTTAAAAAAAATTTTAAAAAGTAAATTTTACCTCTTTTGGGCAGAAAACACAGTAGTGGCGAACAGGAACCTAGTACGTTACCATCACCACCTCTTCTTTCTGCAGCAGATGACCGTAATCAGGTAAGCTGAAAATGGCTTTGCTTAGTCATTTTTCCTGTTTGCATTTTGGGGTGGTTTACACTAGGAAAACAACTAGAATAGTATCTGTATCTTCAGATTGCTTACCTCAGCTAAAACCCAGACCATTTGCATTCAGGTAGTACTAGATGCTTTTATTAAAGTCACCACATTTAAATATTAAAATCGGAAATCACTGTATCTTTTTCCCTTGTAGCAGAAATTATCACAAACCCAAAGATTTCAAGCTAAGAGGCAACAGTCAATTTTAATTGTCTGTGCAGAGAAAACTAAAGTATCACCAGATTTATTACCTGTCTTGCTGGGAATTTTGACTTAGAGCAGGGCTGCTATGTGTCAAACAAATGTGCTGAAATAAATAATGTTTTTCAATAAGCAGGTGTTTTAAGAATTGAGAGTGCTATATATATACCTCAATTCTGCTTTCAAACATAAACTCATCTTCTGAAGATGTCTTAAGGAGGGGATAAGGTGATAAGGATTGTCTCAAAAAAGAAGCGTTTTGGTATTAAAACAAACAAAAAACCCTACCCCAAAACCAACTAATTTTTGTTTTCTCAGGATAATAAAACCAAAACCTGGCCTCCAAAGGCACCCTGGCAGCATACGTCCTCTGTCACGAACACGCTACCCAGTCAGAGTACATCTTTGTATCCTATGAGCAGCCCTGTCAGCCAGTGGAGCGACACGATGCAGATCCTCCAGTCCCCCATGTGGGCAGCAGCCAACGACTGTGCTTCAGCAGCAGGAATTTCCTCTAACTTTGCCTATGCGCAGCAGCAGCAATCACAACAGGCCTCCCAGCACAAACAGATGAATAAGGGCTTTAAATCTTTTCCAGTAAAGCACGAACGCAGACCATCTTACCTGCATCAGTACTAATCGCTTTTCATATTGGAAAATACAGCACAGGGCCGAACATAAATTACATATACTTTGTTTCACAATTGTGTATTGGCTATGTCCTGTTTATCTCATTAAATATGGAATTGAGGGGATTTGGGTGAGATAGACAACTCTTGAATTCTGATTTACAGTGCTGAGCAAATATGGCCAATATGTTTGTTTGATGTACATGAAACAGCCCAAAACTGTGATGTAGAAATGCTTTTAAAAATGTGTATATTGCCTTTACTTTCAAAACCTTTTTTTTTTTAAAAGAACTGCTGAAGGACTACCATACAAGAAACACTGTATTTTATAGCTATTTTTCATATAGATTTATAGTTAAACATCTTACTGAAACACATTGAATATGTTGAAGCAAATATATAGTGGTCACTTTGCTCAACACTGTTTGTGTTTAAATTTATAACAGACAAGCTGTAAAGTCTTTGTATTCTCCATAAACGGCCTGTGGGCAGCTTCTTTTTAAATGAAGTGCAGCAGCAGCTTTTTGTGTGCCACACAAGTGCGTTCATTATGAAACTGCTGCAGAAACAGTTGCAAAATTGAGTTTTGTGGTAGTTTCCTTACTCTAAGTAAAGAACAGCAGAACCACTCAAACTTGTGTCACAAATGTTACCTGAGCTGCTTAAAGTAGATGGCATCTGTGTGGATAATATGACACTGGTTTTCAAATAAATACACCATTTCTTACTGCTTCATTTGGCCAAAGGCATTATCCACACAGTGCTCCTTAAGTGTGTGAAAGTATAGCCTAAAAGACTACTTGCATATATTTAAAGTCTTATTTCAGATGCTACAGTTGATTAAAAATTGTGAGCTGGCTCAGAAGATACTAAACTGAAATGTGGGGTAGCAGTTAGTTAAAAGAACATTATTTTTTTTAAAAGGATAAAGTAATTATTTGCAGTCAATATGTGCCATTAAGTGAACCTGTGGAATTAGGAATAATCTTCCAACCAAAGTGGATCCGGGAGAGTGATTGGTGCTTAAAAATTGAAGAACAATGGTAAATATATGTATAGCTATCCCACTGTATATTAATTGAGATTACAGAAGATTCTTTATATAGTTAGAGCTTATTTAAATTTTCATATTTCATCTTTGAAAGAGTCTAAAAACCACAATATTTTCTGGTATAAGAGTTTTGACAGTATTAATCTTATTTTTGTATTTTTCTTAAGTCATATCATTCTAATATGTTAACTACTAGTAAAATGAGTTATTAGTTCTAACTACATAATTTTTCAATGAAGATAAAGCACATTTGTTGTTTTTGTTTTTACAAACTAAGTACATCTATATCTAAAGATACCAAAAAATAAATACATTATATATATAAATAAAAAATATACACAACACTAAAACTATTAAACATTTGGGTATTTAAAACCCATCCACCTTTTTTGTTTGTATGGTGACGGGCCATATTTGCAGGCCCAGATTGTTACCTTTTGTGCTGTTTGAGGATGCCAATGTTGCCTGTATTTATGATATTGTCACCATGTTTTCTGAAACTTCATACTTACCATGTTTACAGAGATTTGTTTGCTGTACATAGACTTTTTACAGTAATGTGCTTTGCACAATCAGTGTGGCTTCTGTCTGTAAATTGTTAATGGTCTGTACTACTATAATTTTGAAAACCCTCTGCTGAAAATGTTGGTGGTTATTTAACTTGATGAATGGTTTTGAGTTTCCTAAATCTTGTCATTTAGATCTAATATTAAATCCTAAATTTGGTTGTACTTACTGGTTATTCATACTAAGACCAACATAGAAGTTAATGAAAACACTTAATTTTGAACTTTTTCTAACAAGTGCCAAAATTATTGCTATAGTTTTTGCAGTTAATTCATAATTACAAATGCTGGCAAGTTTCTGGACCTACATAAGTGAATTGTGAAATCAAAGAAAGTTTGTCTGCATTTTGACCACGTAGGTGCTACTCTGTCCTTTGCTTCCGATTGTTCTGAACACTGGTAATTTTAAGAATTGTTGCACTTGGCAAATGAGTCTTGCCATTAAACTTCACTTACACTGCCAAGTGCAAGGGTTTGGTGCTTAGTTAACTTACCCTTATTGCAGTGCTTCTTGTGAATAGCTAATGCTTCTGAACTGGAACTGTACATTTTGTATTTTAAAGCTTCTGTAAAATTAAACTATTTGCTTTATTAAAGATATACATTTAATAGGTCATACCTGTTTAAAATATGCACCTTGCTGAAAATGAGCAGCACCTTAACTTGTAACTTTGGTTTGTAAACAAAGATCTTATTTCATTAACATGGGATTATTTAACAGTTTGAAAATTGTCAACTGCCTAATTACTGACTCATCATATAAAAATGAACTTTATGCACTGTACAGTTTGAAGCATTTTTAAGGCTACTCTTTCAAGTAGATTGTACTAGAGAACATGATACAGAAGATGCCTTAGCCGTGTCTTTGAACCAGTAGTTCATTGCTAACATTGCCAATGCCAAGTTACTTCAATTTTTAGCAATCACAGAGTAAATAATGTTGATGGTAGTGAGCAAAAAGTAAACTCTACCCCCTGACAGAACTATTATCAAGGCTGTTAGTTTAGCTTACATTAATCATGCCACTGAAATGCACTATCTATCTGAGGTGTACAAATAAACTGTGCTCTTTCTGGACAAGAGTACACAAGCATACAGCTGACGATAAATGCTGACAAATACCCAGGAAGCATATGAATCCATTTTGTTTATGCAAGAATTTACTTGTTTACAGAGGCTGCAGTACAGAGCATTTCAAGCAAAAAGGAAAAGTCTTGACACAACTAGGGCAAACACACAGCCTTTTCTCACTGAAATAAAGGCTCGATTTCTCCCTTGCACTTAATTGCTCCAAGTTATGCAACAGTCCCATCATTCCTAGACAAGTTAGCATTGCTATTTCACTAAACCACTGAGCTGCTCCTTCGTTAACATGTTACGTTAATCCAGAATATATTATAATTTACAAAGAACATCTTTAATTTATTAAGCACAATTCCTGTGATACAAGATACAAAACAGTCTACTGCTTATACATATGGCAACATACAGCTGACTTTTTGTCATGTTGGAGGTAGAGAGAAGTTACCTAGCTAAATGCTTACCCTATTACTATACAACTTTAGTCATGAAACAGTCTCTGCTTCAAGTGAGACTGCAGGAGTCCTCTGAAGGCATCTCCAGTAGTGCTGTCCTGACAACCAGGCTACTTTCAGAAGTATACTACCTGGAGTTTTTTTAGAGGGGAAAAAGGGAGTGTGAAAATTATCACCCTAAAGTTCTGCTTACAGTAATGGGGAAAAAGCTAGCCTACTAATACATCAAAAACTACATTCACATTTTTAACATAAAAGCACGGATGACTTTTTACCTGCCTTTCAAGACCGCACCTTCTCAGCTTTCAAAGTGGGACTCTAAGCTAAGTATTTCTACAGATTCTTAAAGCATCACTGCTTGTGTCCGGGTACGCGCAGTCAGTCTGCGGTCTTCTGTGTGCTGGGTGGCGTTGCATCAGCAATTGTAGCTAAATAAATGAGGTTTCTATGCAGGATATGCTGGTACCTATGAGAGAAAGAAACACAGTATCTGGCAGAGGTGTTCTTTTGTAGCAACCTGTCCACACTTTAATAGTTGTTTTTGTAATCCGATCAAGACTTGCTGTTAGGGAAAGAAACAGCAAACTATGAAAATCATCATCATCATAAAAAAACCAGGGCAAACACCTCCATATTCTGTTCTTGTTCTAAAGCCCAGTATACTGCACCGAACTGCACTCTAACCCAAGTATGTGCTCCTAACCAACCTTGACAGTAAACATGCACATGAAGATCTTTGTACGATCAATACCGAAGAGACGCAGAGCTGCGAGCGAGCAGCCCAGGGGCAAGAGACGACAAAGCTCCACTCTTGGGCTGGCCTGAACGTACGGCCAGCACGCACCCAGGCTCAGCAACCGCCGTCGGCCTGTCTGTCTGTCATTCCGCTCCTCTGCGAGCGTGAGAAAGAGCCGAGCGGCGGCAGGGCCCCGGCTGACCGCCCGCACTCTTCGGAAATGCCGCTCGGCGTTTCACACGCGTTGCGGGGGCGGGGGGGAAGGGGAGGAGAAGAAAAGCCTGCTCAACAACAGAACTGGTTTTCATATTAGCACAGAACAAAAACCTTGGCAAAAAGGAGCAGGCGTCAGATTTATCCTACTCGGTGGCATTTTTGCTGTACAGGTCCGTGCAGATAGTTTTTGGGAAGGCTCTGCAGAAATACAGCCGCACTTTCTTCTTAACGGCAGGAAAGCTCCGGCGAGCAGGAGCCGCGTCTTTCACTCCTTCGGACTCCGGGGACTGTGAAGCTGCGGGGGCTGCCCCGGAGGCGGCAGAGCGAGGCGAGGCCAGGCAGGGCTCGGGGCTCGGGGCTCGGGGCCCGCCTGCCCCTCCCGCTGCCCCTCCCGCTGCCCGGCGCGCCCCGGCACCCGCCCCCGCGGCGGCTCACTTACTGCACGCAGTCGGTGGCCCGGCCCTTGCTCTGGTACTCCACGATGCACCGGATCAGCTGGTCGTTCTCCTCCAGCAACTAGGGCACAGGAGCGCGCCGTCACCGCCCGCCTCACGACCGCCGCCAGGCGCTACCGCCCCCCGCCGAGGCC